GAGTGGCGCTTAGCGCCCCTCCGCCATTTGTTGTCTTCTCCGGCTTTCCTCCCTCATTTAACACTGGGTCGCTCTGATCCTCTCTGGCCAGTCGAGGTCTGTGCTTTTCAGGCAAGTCTCATTTCGAGTGCTGTGAGTGAATGGCCGTAGATCACTTGGTCGACTCATATGTTCCGTATGTGGCGAGGCCGATCATTGCGCACGCCTACGCTGGTCCGTTCGCTGTGCTTTATGCGGTTTGGATCTATCTCTGGTTCGCTGTTTATGGCGTGAACGAGTACTGGGAGTTGGGGTGTATTGGTTTGGCTGCCATTGGTCTTTTACAGGTACTTTGCAGGTTTTTATTGATAAACTGGCTTGGCGCAGTGGTGTATCTGGCATCCGAGAATGGTGCAGCGTGCGCCCTAGCGCTTCACCGCCAGAGACCGTAGAAGTCTCTTTTTAGCGTTTCAGCGCTAACTTCAGTTACTCCACTGCTTCTTTATTTGCTTTTAAGCGTAGTTTTATATTTCTGGACTAGTTTTGCCCTTCTTTGCCAAATTTTTGGTAAAATTTTAGCTCTACTTGCTGATTGTCACTGAATTTTTTGCTTCTTTTATTTCGCGCAAGCGATTTTTTGCTTCTTTCAATGATAAGAGAGGGCTGGCAGCTATCATCTCCTTCTCTGGATATTGATCAGAATTGTAAGCCTCCGTGTTCTCAGCGAGTTTCACTGTTTGCAGATGTGCAAAAGTAAATTTTCAGGTTCTATTAGTGCTGTTTTGTCACTGGTTCGTCAGCGTTCATTGCCTACTCACCTGTTCATATGTAAGCGTTTTGCCGCTTTTTTGATGTTTTGGAATGGAAATAGATGTGCCTTCAAAATGCGTTAAAAAAAAAAAAACAAACTAGTCATTGCATTTTTAAGGAGCCGAATGCTGAGAATGCGACTGTCGTGAAGGTCGTTCCAACACCAAACAACGGTTGGCCAGAAGTTGTTCCTCTTCAGAGAATGAAGGTGCACCTTCAGAGTTGCTTGTTTTTTCGCGAAGTATTTTTTACTCGGTTGTCGGTGAAAGAATAACAGATATTGGTCGTATTGGAAAAAATTAATGATAAGTCGAGGATGCGTAGTCTTCCTTCCTCCGTGGGCATTCTTGATCTCTGCATTCGAAACATAGAGGCATCTCAAATCTGAGGACGCAAATCCACTGTTTGCGTTTGGTCGAAGCAGCAGTATTCAGTTTAGTTTGCCGCATTCTGGTCATATTCACCCAGCTTTGCCTTCGTTTTCCTGTACGGCAGAAAGATAGAGAATTGCGCCGACTGTTCTGAGTGGATTAAGTTGGTTGTAAGGTATCACCATAGCCACACAGTAAAAAAAGTTTTTTTGCAGCATGCATTGAGTGTCCTGTTACCACCAATAACAAAAACAAAGAAGTTCCTAGGAGGTGGTCCTTGGCATGATGAAGATGTGAAAAATAGAAAAACTAGCGTTCTCAACATTTCGCTGAGTTTATTCACGTTCAGGGTTCTGCACTAAGAATTTTGTGGAATGTTTCATTTGTAGCTCGTAAATGGATCGACGAAATTATGGTTTGAATTCCAAAAAGTTCACTACACATTTGATTTCGAGAGGAAGACATTTGTTGCATTGGAGTTGGACACCAATCAACCTATGTCATTCTTCCAAGAGTCTAGAGGACTGGAAACAGACGAAGTGATTATGGAAAGGAGGCAGATTTTAGGAGATAATAGGTAAATGGTTAACGCACTTCACAAATGATATCAACACATTTCAGCACGACGAGGAGTCGTTTTCTATGCGTTTTTTGCAGCTATGCAATGCAGAAAATGCATATTGACGAGGGGTTGTCTGTGTTTTTCAGCTCAAGATCTACAAAAGCTACAGGGCTGAAACTTTGGGAACTTAATTTACATGCACGTAGATGCCCCAATCCCTAAAATGGGCACTCTTACCCGCGTGGTACCCATGTACGGTCCCATGATACTTTTTTGCGGGTAAGTCGCTAACTCGGGAACCAGAAAAGCTGGAAAGCTGAAATTTTAAGGGGATGTTCCCCGTCCACGTAAGTCTCAGTGAGCTCAAACCCAGCCCTCGGATATGCGTGGTACCCACGCACAGGATCGCCAAAGTTTTTCGGGTAAATTGCTAACTCGGAAACTTGAGAAGCAAAGAAATGAAATTTTGAGGGGGCTTTCCCCGTCCAAGTAAGTATTAATTAGTTCAAACCCAGCTCTCGGGTATACGTGACACCCACGTATGGGCCCGTAAAAGATTCTTCCGGGTAAGTTGATAACTCGGGAACTTGAGGAGCTAAAGGACTGGAATTTTAATGGATGTTCGCCGTCCACGTAGGCACTAATGAGTTCAAATCTATTCCCCGAGTATGAGTGATTCCCACGTATGGGCCAGTGGAAGTTTTTTTCGGGTAAGTTGCTAACTTGGTAAATTGAGAGGCTAGGAGACTGGAATTTTAATGGGATGTTCCCCGTCCAGTTCGGTTTTAACAAGTTCAAACCCAGCCCTCGCGTATGAGTGATTTGCACATCATGGGCCTGGGAAAGTTTTTTTTCGGATAAGTTGCTAACTTGGGATCCTGAGAAGCTAGAAGACTCGAATTTTGACAGGGTGTTTCCTGACAGTTTTGGCGGCCAATCTGAAATTCTTTTAGCTGGAAGCATCCGCCGGAAAAATCAGTACCGTTAGCGACAAATTCTGCGGGGAACTATGCAAAAAACGCATCTTCATACGGGCAGCCCGTGCGTTGGCCAATTTTTTTTTTTCGCTGTCTCTCACATGAAATTTTCATGCGGATTTAAAAGTTTGTGATTTCGGGGATTCTGTTTTATTCAGAAATATTTTCTGGGCATTGGTGAATCGACATTTATAAAACCTTTCCTTCCGGTATATTATCAGTTGCTGGAAGTCCTTTTATTCGTTAAGATGTAGTTAGGTGAACTTTATAAAATTTGAACAGCGAAATTAACGAGCATTTTAGTAACAGAATGATTGAGCGTCTAGTTCCGTCTGTCCTTACATAACGATCGAAAGCAGTAGCACATCATTTTGAAAATACTGCCGATTCCTTGTAATTTTTGTTTCAGGATGGAGATGTTCATCCCTCAGTTCATGGAGCTTTTCAAGGAACGAGCCACAGCACCATTTTTTGTGTTTCAGGTCGAGTTCACTTTATCTCCTAGTACACTTCATCTCTCTTTTGACAGTTTACACTTCGTTAAGGTACACATGGTTGTTACATTTTTTTTGGTTAGCGGTTTCTGCTTACAACTTTTTCATCAGTTTACTAGCACTCTTCATCGGTTTCTTTTTCATTGCATGGTTTTTTGAGCCCACTTTCTTCTGCTGCAACATTTTATTCATTTTTCGTTCGTTGCTGGCCTTG